AGCCGCCATGGCCCAGCGGCCGTTGGTCTTCTCGGCCTCCGCGTACCTGGCGTTTTTTTTGGGGGGGGGGGGGGGGGTGGGCAGTGGTGCGGAGCGAATGGCCAGCGGGAGAGGGGGCAACGCAGCGCTGGGGGTGCTCTGCTCGGGCGAGGGCTGCGTGCGGAGAAGCTGCGTTGTGGGCGTCCCGCTTAGGCGCATGCACCTTTGCCATTCCAAGCGTGCGATTCGGAAAGCGCAGGTGGTGGGCGGCAGCCAAGGCGGGTCAAAGCTCCGCAGCTGGTCGCAGCTGCGGGCGCGGCGCATGCCTGATGGTGAATGGGCTCACCACTTGAGCCGCTCGGGGTCGGCGCCCAGGCCGAGGGGGTCAAAGCCAAAGTCGCCCGCAAGGTTGCCGTTCAGGTAGGCCGGCGGCGTCACGTTGGGCAGCCAGAGCGGCCGGGCAGATGCGGCGACGCGCACGCTGCGGGCCTGCGCAATGAGCAGCATACGGCGAAGAAGCGAGTGACGCGGTAAGGCGTAGTGTGTTGCATCTGACACCCCACGATTTCATAAATTACACAAAAGACAGTGCGTCTCCTCAGGATCAGGTCTTGCTCGGGCCTATCTCGTGCTGCGCCTGAGCTGACCCCTTCGTGACCCCCTCAGATCCTCTAAGAACCGACAAAATCTGCATTGCGACCTCAATGAGCGCTGGGCACCCACCGCCGCGGTCCTGGCCCCGGGCCTCGCCGACGTGATGCTGCGGTTGAGCTGCATCTTAGCTAAGTTTTGAACAGTACTCGTGACTCAAGAGATTTGTGAAGTGTGGTCAAGGATAGGGACACGGAGGTTCAGCTTGCTTGGGTTCAACAGCACGACCTCCCGGAACGGCCTCGCAAATGTTTCCTGGCGTCTCCAAAAAACGTTTTAGCGAGCTGTGCAAAGAGGCTGGTGCCTTTGGCGTAGCGTGCACAGCAGTGTCACCCCTCCAAAAAGTCCAAGTCACAGCACGTGCCGAGGCTGAGTGCATGCGCCGCGCGCTGCAGCCAGCATTGCTGTGCAAGTATGTTATTTTAGGTTTATAACGTTGCTGCAGGTTTGCGGCAAGGATTGAGGCTCCTCCTCTATGTGCGGTCAAACCTCGGTCAGCCGTGCGAAACAAACAACACCCGAAACTGTGTTGGTATCTCACAACTGTAGTCATGCAGCTGATGTAGGAGTGTCATGACAACATGTAACCTGTGGTCACCCCGAACACAGCGTTATCCCAGCAACGACATATGCGGACAGTCACCGGTCCCAGCCTGCTACACCAGCACAAGCAGTCCCGGGCTGGGGTGAGCCCTGGCAGTTGAGCTCTCTAAATCCCGCTTTCCGCCTCGTGCACATCACACGGATCACTGTGTGCACCCTCTTGTGGCATAACGCCACCAGACGGGCAGCCGAGGCGTGGGGGCAGCCCCTCTGGTCGAACACAGACCGCGTCTTCCGCAACGCTGGAACGGTGGGTAGCTGGTGACGCCTGGTGCGCAAGCCGCAAGCCTGATTCCATGCCTGTGGCTGGTGCAAGCGGTTGATCAGTTTCAATGCATGTTCAAGATATGCTGGTAGCATCGCAGCACACGCTGCGCTGGGCTGAGGAGCAGGCCCGGCCACGCCGCTGCAGGGTACCGTGTGGCCGGGACACGCGCATGCAGCTTGGGTCGGTGGCTGCGGCGCTCGGAAACGCTTGTAAATATGTTCTGATTTGTTATCTGGTTGGCTCTAGTCGGGTAACCCAGCGCGGGGCCCGCAACTTGAGCAACCGACGCCTTGTTAGCAGGTTCGCGGGGGTCGGACGCTGCCAAAGCGTGATTGAATCATTGTCTTGGCTGTCAAGAACTCTTCGCGGCCTACCACGGACGCTGCTGGTGCCCAGCGGCTCACAGACGTGCCTCGCCGCACCCATCCGCGGGGCCAAAGCGGCCCTCAAGCGCCGGCACGCGCGGCCTGAATTGATCGTGCGTTAGACATTCATTCATCGATGCCATCGGCAGCTTTCTATTGATGCCTATGCATTGATCACGACGCGGGTCCATCGGCTCGCTCGCCCTTCCCAAGTCTCGGCGGTCGGCGCCCCTCAGGCCCCGTGGGGCAGCCGAACAGCGCGTTTTAGGCACGCCACAGCCTGCTATAATGCGGCGCAGGGCCCTCTGCAGCGCGGCGGTCGCCGCGCTCATGCTCGCCTTCAGCGCGCACGCAAGCGCGCAAGGGTCCCTGCTTGATATGGCCTTTCCGACTCTGCCGGCTGGTCTGCCACGGCTGTCCAACAACATATTGGGCGCGCCCTACACCCCGCCCGTCATCCCGCCCAACGGATACCAGGGCCTGTATGTGAGCAGGCGCGGGGCTCTGGGGGTGGTTTTGGGCTCAGGTATCAGCCGGCAGAGGCTGTGGACTGGGTTGAGTCCAGGAGGGCTGGGGACTCCTGTCACCGCCGCACTCATGGCGTCTCCAGCCTGAATAGCATGCAGCACGCCCCGCTCAACCGGTGATGAGCCCAAACCCCTGATGTTTGCACCGACCTTGTCGACCCCTTCCTGCCGGACTTGCAAACTGCTGTCGGACGCCCCCCCCTCCTATCTCACGCCCCCCGCCC